CAAAGGTCTCAGCATCCCCATGCTCCCTCCTGCCGACACTTCCACCTGGGTCCCCAGCCTCAGCTCTCCACCGACTTCACCCTGCCTCACGCAGTGCAGCCCCAGCCGGGGCTGACCCCCCACATGGCCCCCGCGCACCAGCACAGCGGCCCCCTGCACCAGCCCCTGGCGCCGGTGCCAGCCCTGCCCTTCCAGGATGTGGCCGGACCCTCCTTCCTACCTCAGGCGCTTCACCAGCAATACCTCCTCCAGCAGCAGCTCCTCGAGGCACAGCACCGCCGGCTCATGCCCCATCCCAGGTAAGGGAGCCTTATTCTTCTGGGGTCTTACTCTTCCTGAAGGATGCTGAGAAGCTACATCAGCACCTCTTCAGCTTATGAGAGTGGTTTCTGCAAAGCCCCAGCAGTACGTGCTGGTAACGCCAGGTTTTCTTCACATGATCAACTCCATACTCCAGAAATCCAGTCACCAGGAGGGAATCATAGAATGGTTTTGGTTGGAAAAAACCTTTAAGATCATCATGTCCAACCATCAAACCAGCCCTAAGCCTGTCACTAGACCATGTTCCTAAGCACGACATCTACTCAACTTTTAAACACCTCCAGGGATGGTGACTCAACCACCTCCTTGAGCAGCCTATTCCAGAGCTTGACAACCCTTTCAGTAAAGAAATCCTTCTTAATATCCAACCTAAACCTGCCCTGGCACAACTTGAGACCATCACCCCTTGTCCTGTCACTAGGAAGCTACAGGGCAGGTTGTGTTTGCAGATGTGTCTTTCCCAAGGGGATCCATACTATGCTCATCTACTATGTCCCAGGGTCACCTATTGTTGCCGTTCATAGGTGACTCATGGTGGTAACACCTTGGTGTTGCAGTGAGCCTGTCCTGCGTGGCACAAAGACCAATGGATTGCTTTCACAAGCCACCTCCTCATAGCTGCTGTTTCAAAACCACGTTAAAGATTGTATCCACCTGTCCCACCGAGTTTTCCACAGGAAGAGCTTGCTCCTCTGAGGCTAGGTAGGCTTCCCAGGTCTATAAGGGAAGGATGCTGTTGACCTGCAGCACATTCAATCACAGAAAACAGCCTAAATTCAGACTGAGCTGATGACTGCAGAGAGAATTACTGTAACTCAGCAGAGGTGGAAATGGATGCCTGGGCTTGTCCTGATCATGTTTCTTGAGAGAGGGGTTTAGATAGCACATGGAAGAGGAGTGCTTTTTTGGGAAATATGTGGAAGCTATTTGTGGGTTGTACCCATGGATCAAGAATCAGAGGATGAGTCTTTGCGTTACTGCTTCATTTGGAAAGAATGTTGCAGACAGAAAACACTTCACTTCCATACCCTTTCTATCTGAAAACTGTGTGTTCTTCTCATCCTTATTTTGTTTTGCACAAACTGCATTTTAGGTGGATTTAATGATTAGTTAATAATTGGGTAGCAAATATGTGCGAGGCTGAGGAACCGATGATACAAGTGTTTACCTCTTAGTCATACGCTGAATTCAAATAAAAGCACGGAGCACAACTCCACGCAGAAGCTGCTCTGGTAAATGCTGTCACTGTTGCATTTGCGAGTGGGTTGTGGCGTGGAAAAGGGCAGGGACCTCTTGCCTGGCCCCACAGGCTGTTTCTGAAAGGAGACTTGCATCATGGGAGGGTGTCAGGAACCTTACAGGTGTGGGGCATAAGGTCCCAGTAATGGGATGCTGGGTCATGCCTTGCTCTATTTTCTACCACTTTCCAATCCCTGACTGCAAAGGCAACAGAGCCACGGGAGAAGGAACTGGATCCCAGCCTGGCCCGTCCATCATCCAGAGAAATGTTGGCAAAGACCAGCGAGAGTAAATTCTGCTTTCAGCTGCTCCTGAGTAATGCTGTTATGAATGAGGTTCCCCAGGAGTTTATGGACTGCATGGAGAGATGAGGCAACCTGCAGCTTCTTTATGATGATGGATAGCGGCTGGAGCCTGGACGCGTTTTATTTTGTGTGTTGTTTATGGAGCTGGCAGCAGAGGAAAAGAAAATAATGCAAATAGCACCAAACTGCTAAGGAAGAAGTTGTTTCATTTCCTCTTTTTCTTTCTATATCGCCATCAAATAGCATCTCCTGTAAACTGAGAGTATGTGAATGCCATAGGGGGTGAGAGTGGAGGTCTGCGTTATGTCCGTGGTGACCACAGGTCTGGGTTCATCCTCGACATCTGCCCGGACTCTTTTCCCTTGAACACTTATTCACAGCCCCAGCTGTTTGGGGTTTCTCCTGGTTTATTGTCACACATATTGCCATACATACCAGTGTCCACTGCATGGCTAACTCTCTCGCTGGTCTCCTCCTAACAGGCGGGCTCAAGAGCGCATGTCCGTTCAGCCTCACCGGCTGCACCCCAGCTTTGACTTCAGCCACCAACTGCAAACTCCACAACCCATGGGGCCCCAGCCCAGGTATTTAGCCGAAGGCACGGACTGGTAAGTCTTCTACATCTCACTTGTGTATTGAATGAGGTGCTTAAAAAGTTCTGGGGAGGCTGCAAGGCTGCTGAATGTCATCATGGATCGGTGCTTTAATGAAAGCTAATGGTGCAGCTGGAGGGTTACTGTATGAGGAGTGTGCAAAGGGAAAACTGATCTCTGAGAGGGCCATGAACCACAGAATGGTTTGGGTTGGAAGGGACCGTAAAGACCATCCAGTCCAACCCCCTGCCATGGAGAGGGACATCTCCACCAGACCAGGCTGCTTAAAGTCCCATCCATAGCATGAGTGCATGCTAAAGCCTTTATGCATGTATGTGATAACACTGAGGCATCAGTGTTGCCCGTAACTCTCCATCCATGGATGTAGAGTGCAGCCAAGCATTAATCATCCTCCAGGCACTTTTTCTGCTGCACAGCCTGGGTCTTTTTCCTGTAGACCAATGTCTCTGGCTGAACTAAATCTTCTGCTGTTTTCCAGGCACTCAAAAAGCAGTGGCCACAGCTTATCCTGTGGTCTAAATTAGGAAGCACGGCACTGCCCTGCCCCGCAGGGTAGTGTGATGAATGAATTAATAGTTGTTAATCGGTCTCTCTCACTGTAGTGTTCGATACCCTGGAAAAGTTGAGCAGGGAATTGATCGTCTCTTTTTCAGAGCAGGTTTCAAGCTCTTGCACAGCTAATAAGGTATGGGGCCCTGCTTGGAAGAATGAGAAAATAAAACCATACTTCTGAGTAGCTGCTTCTTAGCTGAGCAAAGTCCATTCTGTACACTGAATGGAAAAAATAGTGTGTGAACATGTAATTAGAGACAATCGCAATGTATATGCACAGGGGGACCGAAATAAAATGTCATGGGAAATCTTAATTAGGGCATTTCCTAGCATCTGAGCACTTTGCTCTGCAAATGGAAAGTCTTTTTAACTTGGAGGGGGGGCTTTCCCCCTCTGGGGTAATAATATGAAACCTAAAATATGGGGACGTCCTTCTACCATTTTCTTCTCGGGTGTTCCCATTACTGGCACTACCATAAGCCAAATTTGGCCAGGGTGACGTTGTTCAGATCAGTTTGCAAAGTGGTTCACGTACCATCTGGGTAGAGCCATTCTTTCTGCCTCTCTTTCGGCACAGAGTGTTTAATTATAATGATTAGAAGGATCTGATAAAGCATAGCTGTATGTTTCCCTCCTCCTCCCTCCTTCTCCCCGCTGTGTTGCTCCATAGCCTTATGAAACCTAAGGAGTGGGGATGACAGAAATTGTATACTGTGTATATATATGTGTGTATATATTTGGGTGACTCACTTCCCCTCAGCACACATGTATGGTTTTGACCCATGATGGATACAAAAACTCTCCTTTAACATGTTACCACTGTGTGAGCAGCAGCGGTGCTCGCTCAGATGCAGTAGATGGTAGGCACTGTTGTAGGAAATTACAGAATCGTGGAATTGCTTGGGTGGGAAAAGACCTTTTATAACACTGAGTCCAACCATTAACCCAGTACTGCCAACTCCACCACTGAACCATGTTCCTCAGTGCCATATCTATGCAGCTTTTAAACACCTCCATATATGGTGAACCCACCACTGCCCTTGTCAGTCCCTTCCAGCGCTTGACCACTCTTTCTGTAATTAAATTTTTCTTAATTTCTAATCTAACCCTCCTCTGGTGCAACTTGAGGCCATTTCCTCTTGTCCTATCACCTTTTACTTGGTAGAAGAGACCAACCCTCACCTCACTATCCCCTCCTTTCAGGGAGTTACAGAGGGTGTAAGGTCTCCCATCAGCCTCCTCTTTTCCAGGCTGAACAACCCCAATTCCCTCAGCTGCTCCTCATAATTCTTGTGCTCCTGACCTTCATTGCTCTTCCCTGGCCACGTTCCAGCCTCTCACTGTCCTTTCTGTAGTGAGGGGTTCAAATCCAAACAAGGGATTCAAGGTGCGGCCTCATCAGTGCCCAGTACAGGGGCAAAATCACCTCCCTATTCCTGTTGGCCACACCATTCCTGATACAAGTCACAATGCTCTTGGCCTTCTTGGCCACCAGAGCACACATGTGGGCACATATCCTTGGGGGTGGAAGGAAGATCTGAAGGTGATCAGCCATCTCGGACAGCCCAACCTCTATTAAAATCTTTTGGTGAAGAAGAAATAAACTCCTATTTGGTTTCTTAAATAATCTTCTGCATATGTATTTAGTGATGAAAATCCAACCTGTTATGTGGAGCATTATCTTTCACTTTTTGGTGTTGGCTGCCCATCTACCATAGGCATCACAGCTCTTGGACCTTGCATCTGAGTATCAAGATGCTGTACAGATGTCCACAGAGCACAAGCTAGAAGGTGACAGTTGGTTTTGGGTTTCCTTCAGCTAATGTCCTCTGCTTGTTCACACCCAAACCCTCGGCAAACGCCGTTGCATGCAGTATTTTCCTCTGGGCCCTTCTATAAGTGAGGCATCACTTCAGGAGCCTCAATATCTGATTTTAAGATGCACTAGTGCACCAACAGTTCAGCATTGCTGTTATTGCAGTTACTTGTGCAAGTTAGCAATGGCTGTTCATCTTTCAGACCTCTCCAGTCCTTGACCTCAAATCCACTCTGTGGATTATCACATTGGTTTTGTAGACAGGGAATATGGGAAGTGGTCAAGGTCGTGCATTAGACCAATGACAGGGCTGGGAATGGACCCAGATCCTCCTGATTTCCAGTTGGGCTTTCCATGCACCTTGGAACAGTCTTCAGCAACAGGATAAATCTCCAAAATTCTGACACAGGAACTGGAAATGCTCAGTCCTGTGGTTTCTCACCCTGGCTGTGTTCCTCCCATTCACTTGCTGTGTTTTATTCTCGGCCAGTTTTGTCTGTGTAGGACATGGCTAACACACAGCCAGCAAAGATAGCCCATCTTTTTGCTTTGTCTTGCTGCGGGGAGACTTTTGGGGAAGTACTAAAGCACTGGAGCTGTCACCTGGTGCACAGGCTGTCCTGGGTGAAGGATTTCTGCATTTACTGTCCCCTCACATCCCTCATCTGCTCTTGGGCAAATGTAGTTTCACAGCTGCTGGGGGACACATCTGGGTTGCTCCTAACAAGCCACGGTGTTTGCTGCCACTGTCCTTCACAAAGGGAAGACAAGTTCAAGACTGAAATGGGAAGCCACCCCTGTGCTCTAATTACCTTTGCTTTGGTGAATGTGAAGACAATGGTTATTAGAGCATCGGCTTTTGTCATTACGATAAAGTGAATGACGTTCAAGGCAGTTGTTTGCTGAGAGACTCTATGGGCGGAGAGAGAAGGGATCAGCTAATTGGATTATTGCATTGGGTCTCCTCCTGTCCCCTCCACACGACATGGGGATGGGGTAACCATTCATCTCTACATGCTGGATTGGGCAGAGCTGTGGTGTTTGTCGGGATCCTGGTCATGGCAAGTCCTGGGATTGAGCTGGGTTATTTTTCTGGAGGAGAAAAGTGCCCAAATTCACCAAAACTGTGTCCCAGCTCTGCTTACCCAGGCAAGACCATCAGGAACCTCCTGCTTGATTGGCATTGGCCCTCTGGTTGTGTAACACCCTTTCTTACAACAGTCTCATCCAGAAATATCCGGAAAACTTCATATTTTCTACACAGACAGCGTTTCCTAGGTTCCCTGAGGCAATGTACCGTCTCCCTTGTGTCCCCAAGTCCTACCATGACCCGGCTGGGAGACCTCCAAGGAGACCACAGGCACATCAAAAAGCCCCCAGATGATGCCTAGCTGGCTGCTAACATCTGCTCAGAATGGTTCATCAGTGTGTCCCCTGAGTGGTTAGCTGCATTCCTTCAAAATTCCTGCAAAATACTTGAGGCAAAATGTAATTGCAGTGATGACAGCACAGGGAGGACCTGATCTGCTTGGGTTGAGTTACTGAGCCTGGGTATCGATCAGAGCCACCAAAATGCTCTTCATCTGAAATTAGCTGGCTGCACCTGTGCAGCTCTTGACCCTGGCTAACACAAATGTTAACTGGCATAAAAACAATGCCTTACTTCTTCATGCTGGCCTGGTGGGTGATTGCCCAAATTGGAGGAAACTCACTTCCAAGCTATAGCATCAACCCAGGTTGAGGAACCCACAGCAACCCAGAGCCCACCAGAGGAGATTTCCCTGTGAGCATGCCTTGATTGCTGTACTCTGTGCAATGAAACCGTGCAGTCAAACCTACATCTTCATCCTCATGCCTACAGGGACCTCAGTGTGGATGCAGGACTGACTCATACCCAGTTCCAGGTCCGGCCAGTCCCTCAGCCCTATCAGCATTACTTAGCTACACCTCGGATGCACCATTTTGCCAGAAGCACATCCTCGACACAGATGGTAAGTGAAATGCTTTTACCGAGAGATGTTTTATGCATTGTCTGCCAGAAGGCAGTCAAAATAAAGGCTGGTATCTTTCTATCACCTGTCTTCTGCGAATCCCACTTATCTCCGGCCGTGGGAGGGAGCGTCTGAAAGGATAATGTTGCTTCATTGCACTCCAGATTAGAGAAGGGAAAGAAAAGCTCAGCTGCTCTGGAAAGATTCAGTCCATTGCATGCAGTACCACGCTCACAAGCTGGTCTGCAAAACCTGGGGAGGATGTGAGAGTCTCAGCAGTTATTACTAATTATTATCGGTGCTGGAGCAACGTGTGGGCTCCCAGGGCTCCCTGCATTGGCAGTGGGCAACTCCTTTCCCCAGGCTTAGCCTCAAGGGCCATTCCTCATCACCTCATTGCTCTCTAAGTTTATAAAGGTTTTGTATGGCCTCCTGCACAGGTGGAGATGGAGTTTGATGAGAAGATGGGCTGATTTAGTTCATTTCCTGGCCCTTTCCCTAGCAGGGTGCTGTGTTTGGAGCTGAGCCATATTGAGCACCACTAATCCTTAAAACAACCTCAGAAATCCCATGAGGGTGTTTTCTCCTTGCGCCCATAGTCAGACCCTGATACCTGTGTACTACAGCCAGGCTTAAAAAAATCAATGCTCGCATGAAGAGAAATCCACCCATTCAAAACCAAATAAAATAAAATATCTTTTAAAGCTAATCTGAGTTGAGAGTTTGGACCTGCAATGTTATAGATGCAACAGTAATTGTTATAACAGATAGTATATTCAGAAGAAATGCATGTTCTCAGTTATCATTTATAAGAGATCTATTTAATAAAACCTCATTTTTTTGGTTATTAAAAGGCTTCCATTGCGGAAGGTGTCACTCTGCTCTTTCATTTTGATTTTTTAAAGCACTAGATTTAAATCAGTGTACACAAGGGATTTCTGAGTGCAAGGCTTTACTTTTCTCTCTCACTTTTTGCAGGTTGTTCACGAAATCAGAAATTACCCTTACCCCCAGCTTCAGTTACTTGCTCTTCAGGGACTGAACCCAAGCAGGCACACATCTGCTGTGCGGGAGAGCTATGAAGTATGTATCTTGGGATCTGGAATTATTATTAAGTATTTTTAAGTGCTGGGAACCTCTTCAAGGTCTGGCATAAACTTGTAAGACTGTTTTGTGGCATGGCAGCTGCACTGAGTCTTCCAGCCATTTCAGTATAAGTTGGAGGTGAAGGGGTTGAGTGGGTTTGGTAAAGTTAGTTTACTCCAGAGTGCCTGGGTCTGGCTTAGGTTGAGTTTGGCTCACTTCATGTCTGTGACCAAAGTGCTTCAGTTCTATGGGGTTTTGTTTCCCAGTCTGTCAAACAGAGCTGAAATTTCACTATAATTTGTGAAGTACTGAGTGTCCAGCTCTCTGTTATCTGCTTTGAACCCTTGGTCCAAGAGCCAGGGCTCATATTCATCATTAAAGCATGGCTGATTTGGGTTTGATGGACATTTCCACCAAGGAAAGGGCAGGAGGGAGACTTGGTCCCCAGCAGGGAGGGTGGGGTGGTGGGAGCTCACGGACCAGGATCAATGCTGATGGTGCTCTGCTGCTGTTCCTGTGCCGCAGGAGCTGCTGCAGCTGGAGGACAGGCTGGGCAGCGTGAGCCGGGGAGCTGTCCAGAACACCATTGAGAGGTTCACCTTCCCCCACAAGTACAAGAAGGTGAGCTCCCCAAAACCACAACACAGCTGTCAGCCCCTCTCGATTGGCCAAGGGTTGTGGGCATGGAGAGGACAGAAGGAAGGACTTTGGTGGGTTGCAGTGGTTAGGGTTGGCAAAGCAGTGCCATCAGTCAAAATATTCCCTGAAATGGGGGAGGAATGTGAAATCCAGAACTGGTGCTTTAATATCTTGTGGGGCGCCCGGGATGAAGGGGTGGTGTAGCTCAGCTGGCTGTTTCTCACTTCTAGGCTAGGAAGCTGCGGGCCAAATTTTCAAAAGGGTCTCAACCTTCTCCCACCCAGGGGGTGCAATTTCCCCCCTGTCCACACCTGGTAAGAAAGTGCACACACCAAGGGGGCTTCGTGCATGCAAACCTGCCCTGTTCTGCATGCAAGCAGCACTGCCCACACTGGCTCCATAGCGTGGGGGAGCTTGTCCTCCCCTCACTTTGCTCCTCTGTTGGAGCTGATCTCCTGCCCATAAGGAAATGAGTGCCGTGTTTTTTGGGTAGTGCTAAATAGAAAATGGGAAAAATGCTTCTTTGGGCAGTAATTTCACATGTTGGTCATTCCCGGCTGTGCAGTGACAAGTCAAGATGTTGCATTGCCCAGGGTGGAAGAGTCAGCTCCTGCTATGCTTGTCTCTGACCACATCTCCAGTGGATCCAGAAAAGTCCTGTTAATAGAAATGGATGTGTTGGAAGGAAAAGAAGAAGAGAGACCTGACAGGCTGATTGTTGCCCCATGGAGGGTGGCCAAGCTGACGTGAGGCACAGTGGTGGCCTTTTCTGACAGTGGTGGCCCCACATGCTTTGGGGTCTCCATGAGAAGTCTCCAGCAAAGGAGACCATGGGGCCATCCTCACTGTGAAGAGGATGGAGGAGGTGGCAGGAGGGTTGTGTTAGGGCAGCAGAGGACAGGTTGTTTCTTGGGGCACTGCTGCTGGTCCCACTGCCACCAGCCTTGGGAGGAGATGTGCTGAGCAGCAGCATGTTGGTGGCATCCTCCTCTCACTGGCTGTTTTGGCTGGGTTGGTTTCCCTGAGCTGGAGGATGTGGCTGATAGATGAAATGCATAGCATTTACCTTCCTGCAACTGCCCAGGCTTGGGAGAGCATTAAAAAATTCAAGTCTTAACCAAATTATGTCTTTAACTTTGCTCCAGAGAAGACCGCAGGAGGGCAAAGCTGAGCAAGAGGATGGAGAGGAGTCAGACACTGACGAGAAATGCACAATCTGTCTGTCCATGCTTGAAGATGGAGAAGACGTCAGGTATGATCCTTTCACATGCTCCTCTGCCAATTGATGCCATCTGAGTTGTGTTTCTTGGGATTAATGCCATTTTGCACTGGTGAGCTTGTCCATGCTCTTGTCCTGACAAACTTGCTTGGACTGTTGCGAGTTTTGGGAAACTAAATGCCATTTTGATGGATGTTGATACAGGCTGTAGGTAGGAGGAGCTCTGCAGCAGCAGGAGGGCCAAATTCTTACAGTATTCCTTGAGTCTGGATCACTTGCTTCAAGGCTGTGCCAAAGGGCCAGGTGGCAAGTGTCAGAGAAGGATGGGCCCCAGGTCTCAGACAGCTGTCTGGAGCTGGGTGATGTCAGCATCTGATCTTCACAGATGTCCAAAGTGTGATAATAAAAGGGAGTGAAGTCCAGGGCAGTTTGGCTTGTGGCCGAGACGGAGCCGAGTGAGATTACTCAGCCCTCACAGTCAGAGGGAGCCATCCTGAGCCAACAGCAAAACCCCAGTTATCCATCGGAGAGGTCCCCAGGGTCTTGTCTGGGTCAAATCTCTGTGGCAGAGGATGGGGGCAACCAATTGCGGGGGGGTGAGCTACTATGGCTGGGACGGGAGGTTGAGCTACTATGGCTGCAAGTGGCCCTGCTCCTCACCCTTTAGTTGCCTAAAGCCATCAAGAAAAACTCTGATCCTCTTGCTGTGGGTCGTTGAGGTTTGGTGTCTCTCTGGCTTGAGATGGTCACTGAAGAGATGACAAAGGTGATGTAGATGATGTAGGTGAAAAACAACCACATTACCTGGGGCACACCAGACACCCACATAGGAGCAGCCAGGCTCCACCTTGACTTCTAACGAGTCACAATGATGAAGAACCAAGAGGTTCTAGAGTATAACCTTGCACTCTTGAAAGATTGAAAAGTAGCAGCCTGGAACAACTCAGTCCAGGAGAGTGGGTGATTTTCTAAAAGGTTTTTAGCTAAAAGGACAGGATATCTGTCCTACTGCCCCATGTGGTCTGGCGTTGCTAGGGGATGCTGTAGGACCTGGGTGGCATTGGTGTCACCTCATTGGTGCTTCCCAACCTTTGAAGCATCCTTTGCTGCTGCTTTCTGTCTCTTCCTGGTTCCCTGGACCTCCTGCATCCTAATGGGGTGGGACTTCTCTCTCTCTGTAGGCGGTTGCCCTGTACTCTTCCCCCATGTGGGCGTGCACCAGGGGCTGGCCACCAGTAACAAGTGCCCGATCTGCAGGGTGGACATTGAAACACAGCTCGGCTCGGACAGCTGAAAGGACTGGCTGGACACACCATTTTCCTTACCAGGTCATATGGCCATAAACCCTTGCAGCAAAATTTTTTGCCTTCTGAGCCATTTGATTGAGAGGAGAAGTCTGCAGGCACGTTAGTGAGGAGAAGGGGATGGTGGTGGTACAATATCTAGCGGTAGGAGATATTGCACATATGCAGGATACGGGCCCGGTGAAAGGGAGCTGGCATTCCCGTATTCCTGGAGCTCAGAGACCCCGTGCTGCAGAAGATTTAGTGTTGAACATGAAGGAAATAGTTGTGGTAGTCTGGCCTGTCAATCCTGCATCTCATGAGGATTGTATATATACCTCTCGAATACGTAGAAACATGTTAGGGGTCCTTTAGCTATTTCTATGGATGGCAGCTGGAGCATGTTAGCTTAAGAAATGTTGTGTTTGATGCCCTACTCATCTTGTGGTGGACATGTTGCTGTTACCTAATTTGCACCAAATATTTTTTCATAGATTCCTTATTTTGGTGCCTGATTAATACATTGCAGAAGGGGAATAAAGAGATCAAGCTTTCCCACCCTTGGCAGGGGGAAAGTGGCGAAAAAGCAAAATCCTGTTTACAGTCAGAAGGGTTGCGCTCTTTGCCTCAGCCGCGTGTGCTTCCTTTCCTTGCGTTTACAGTGTGTTGCAAATTTAGAGAAGCTTAAAAAAGTAAATAAAAATTGGGAATGAAACAAATGAAGCAATAGGGAGAAGCTTCGTTCCTGCTTATCTGCTGGTGCTGGATGCTTTCTGTAGGGGCGCAATATTGGAGTAGATGCTGTTTCTTTGCTTGCTGTATCTTAATGAAGTAGCTTGGCATATCAAAATCAAAGGAAGAGCTGTCTTCATGATTGCTGTTGTCCATGACGCTTTCTCCTGTGAGCTATGAGGCTGGTTGGCTTCAGCAGCTGCTGCCAGCACTGGTCCATAATGGTGGTTACTGGAGTTGGCACCTATAGCTGTGCTTTGGGGTGTAATAACCATAACAGGGCTGGAGAACACTCAATGCTCACAGGGCATTGCTGAGGCCATGAGCATTTCGGGGTGGAAGGGGAAGGAAGGCAGGTTGGAAGTGGGGTTTGCTGCTTTCTGGAGCACCTAGGTGCATTTGTATACATATTTCAGGCCATATCCGCAGAGAGAATGGAGTGGTTATTGAAATGAAAACGACTTGCATTAACATTCAGAATTAGGAGGTGGTCCCCAAAGGAGTGAGC